AAGGGAATGGAGGCTATGTATGATGGATGTGAATGCTTATTTAGCCTTTCCTGGAATATGACAGTTAACTTCAAGGAAACACTGGGACACTTAATTATTTATAATATTCAACTAGATCCCACATAGGATTAAGGCAAAAGTTAGCTATTTTATCTCAGGTTTTGCTTAGTGTGTATTTATTGCTCTGAGTCCTTTGCTGCTCTCCTCTGGTTTCCTTTTATGGGTTTGCATAAATACAGGACTTGTTCCCTGTGAGATTAACCCCGAAGAAAGAGGTTACATTTGGTGGCATCAATAAAGGCACATTTCAGCTTAAGCTGTTTGTTTTATAGGATTTTCCTACAGTTACCAATTAACTCTTGGATGTGCATTTTCATAGCTGGTTTGACTGTTGCATTTTATGAACAGAAAAGGTTATTGGCAAGCAAGTCTGACCTCCATAAAGTGGTGTAGTGAAACAGCAATGTTGGTTTTCTCTGCAACAGTAGCATTTTGTTTCTGAAGGTGGTGCGTTTTGTTGTTGTTTGTAAAGGGATGTTGTAGATAGAATGCCAACATTGATTCTGTATTTTAACAAGTTTTATTGGGAAAGTATTTTGAACACTTATGATAAAGTTCAAGAAAAATCACAGTAAGTTCTATACTCTTTCAACATCAAAGGGAGGAAAAAATGTTTTGTAGCATTGCCGCAATGAGGTGTAAGAGTCTGTCAGTAAAAGGTTTAAGAACTGAAAGCAATCACAAGGACTAACAAACTTGGCGGCTGTTGAGAGACATAACTCTTGATTTTCAAAAAAGCTTTTTTTATGTGGAAATGCATGTGAAAATTAAATTCGAAATGTGGAATAACAGCAATGAATTAGTATGCAGTGTGGTGTCAGCATCAGTTACATTATATACTATATACTCATACTCTAGGCTTGCTGGTTTTATGGGCCTGCTAGGTATTTATATAGCTAGGGGCCTCTGTTGTACATTTTGCATTGTCTAATAGTTTTTAAAAATACTTTTTGAATACCCCAAATCAGTATCTGGCAGTAAATAGGCAATACTTAATTCTGCTTGCAAGGAAAATGCTTGTTTAATTAACCAGCTGTGTGTTAAATGGAGCTTGGTCTCATGAACAGTAACAGATGAAGAGCTTAATTATTAACAGTTATTTCTTTAAACTTACCTTCATTTGAAAGGGAGAGCTTTTTTAGCTCTCTCTTAGTGCATAAGTGTTTCTCTCAGCTTTTTGTATCCCTGATGGTATCCCTCGCATCAAAGGCCAGTTGCATATATTGGCCCCGACTCCCTTTAGGTACTAAGTTGTCACATTGCCCTGTGTGACTTCCTAATGTAAAACTGATGCAAAGCTGTTCTTAGTAAATGAAATGTAAATGACAGTTTGAAGTCTCAGTCTGGCAGTCTATACAGTCGAGTAAAGAAAAAAACCAAAACAAAACCGACCTGATGTATCTTTAATCCTACTTATGCTGTGACTTCCTTCCAGTTGAACAAAAGGCTATGGTATTTCTAAATCTTCAGTTACATCCTTCTCTATCAGTTTCTTCTACCCGTTGAATGTGCTTTCCCCCCTTCCTCCTAAGTGGTTTATACTGCTGCTTCCTCTGTTTTATTCTCCTCACTACAATAGGAAGTGAGGAGTCGCATAGCTTCCTGATGTTGATACCTTTTCAGTATCATCATTTTGTCAAATACCACTGCTCAACCTCACTTCAATTTTGTCTTGTTTGTTGTTTTATGTAATGTGATGGACTAGTCTTGCAGGGAAAAGGCTGTATAGAAGTAAAACTTCGTCACTTTGTATTGCACTCATCATTAATACTGAATTGTAGGGGACTCTGTGTGGGTTTAACTCTACACACATAGGATGGCAACCTCTTATCATCAAGCAGGATGTGAAAGGAAGGAACAAAGCTGTATTATGTCTGCAGCTTCTTAAAAGGTTTTTTTCGGGTGGCTTAAGTTGCTGCTTTTATCACTTGCAGCTCAAAATACTGATTTGAATACTGTTCCTTCTATATAACTTCTTACATGGAAAAGGAATGTAAATGGCAAAGCTGCATGAGAAGAAAGCATAATTTTGCTGAGAAGGAAATTGAGTGACATTATTAAAAAAAAAAAAAAGACCTCCCCCATGCTTTCATGAGTTAAGTTTTATTTTTGCTTAACTGGGAACTCTTTAAGGATAGCGTAACAAAGGTGCCATTGTACTGCCAGGACCTTTGCTAGCTGTAGCTAGTGCTGCAGTCAGTTTTGTCTTTCACATCTATTCAGACGAAAATGAGTATTACTGCTGTTGTAGAATATCTGCTGTAATGATCCAGTTTTAAAATTATTAATAGAAATTTGGACTTGGTGTGGCAACAACAGCCTCAACTAGTGGAAGAAAAAGAAATACTTGTCAGGAGGAGCCTTCTGTCTGCAAGTCTTTAGTTCAGAACAGAGGTGGGAATAAGAATTAATACTGCCCACCTTCCTGTTCTTATGTTTTAGGAAAAACAAGGAAGAATGTGAAGTATGCTTTTTTCCGTGGGTTCAATGCAAAAGGATAAATGGGTGACTGGATCTTTTCTGGCATTTTTGTCTGAAGAAAATGCATGGGAGACCACGGCTAGTGACTTCACCAGTCCGTTTTGCTGTTCTTGTGCATCAAGCAGAGAAACTAGAGTAGTAATGTATTTGCTAAACTGGACCATACTTTCTCTCTGGCTGCTTCAATATGCCTTCTTTCAGGTTAAATAAGCTGTCTTTAAACAAAAAATGGAATTTGAAATAATGTAGATGAGCTGGGCGAAGTCACTGTGCTGATCTGTGTGCACATACCTTGCAGCTTGATTTCAACAATTTTCCTAGTTGCTACTTAATTCCGTATCATCCTATTTTTTTCTTTCATAAAACAAAACCAAGAATAGTACTTAAGAATAACACTTCCTTCGTGGGCCAACTTTCTGGGGTATCACCCACAGAAGCAAAAGTAGTAACAATTCTGAAGAAAGCTTATCTAAAGCAAATGTGTAGGCATTAAAACACTGCCTGAGAGTGTCCTGACCCAGCTAGACCTGCTTTACTTCTGTGCCCCCAGCTAGCAGGTTTTCTTTTAACCTGGAACCCTCTGCTTACAGGCATGTTCAGTCTTCTATCCAGAGAGCTAGTTGCCTTTGGGAAGAGGGTTTAAAAAAAAGCATTACAGCTTTCAGACCATCACGGAGTTTGTGATATCCGTGTCTTCAGAATCTTGTACAGCTTTCTCTGGAAGAGCAGCAGGTATTCGCGGCCAAACATATGACTGATCCCTGACCTTACTGTCAGATTAATCAGTACAGATCTGCAGGTTCATGATTTTCTTACGCACCTTGGCTTGCTGTGAGACTAGTTTTATGTCTGAACGAGGCTGTTATTGCTTTATATAGGCAGCTGATTCTTATATCCCCATGAAATTGACAGTTACAAAGAATATTGTTAAATAACGTGACTACAGCTAGACTGGTCCAAAGACAGAATAAAGAAGCTAACAGATTTGGTTTTGTGTACTAAGCTTTTTCTCCCATAGAGCGCACAACATCAAATAAGCTCTTGTCTGATGGTAAACACCCATGATAACTTGAACTATCTGAATTATAAATTATTAGTCTTCTTGCTAAGTTTTCCTTTTTATTTTCAGTTCCTGCAGAGTCTGGGAAACAAAGCACAGGGTGGCATTGCCATCTACACACATTTCTAAAAAAGTAATCTATTCAAAGGGGCTATGTATCAATTTCTAATTCTAGCAGCATTTGTTAATGAAATTTTGTGTAGTTCTGTAAAATAAGTCTCTCTACGTAAGTGTGTGTCTCTTCTGAGAGTGAAGAATTGCTGAATGAATTTGGCATGAAACCAAGGGGAAATAGATAATGCCACCCAGGAATAAAGTCTAGTCTTCACAGTCCAAATTCAGTTTGGTCACCATAGTAGGCTGCGTATTACTTTTTTTTTAAAAAAAGCCTTCGTCTCAGTGCTACAAGGAGAGGTCAGGGTTTATATACACTCTGCTAAATCCACCTGTCAAGCTGAAAATTCTGCAGCTTTAAAATAGTGCTAATCGTTATGCAAGACAAGTTCCTGCTTCCGAAAACATGTCCAGTGATCTCATTCATTACGTATGCAGAGTTTTCTTCACAAAAATAAGTCTTACAATTAGGGTTAAATTCAGCTTGGTGTAAATGCAGAGTAAATTGGCTAAGTTGAATTCACACCAGCAGAATGTGCACTTGAGTGCAGAATGTGGTGCCCAATTTGTTGCTTCTGAGTGGAAGAAGTACAATTTACTTTTTTTCCTGAGTGCTACGTACTAGAATACTTTTGAGTAGGAAGATTCTTGCAATTTGTGTCATTTCTTTCTTTTGCACATGCTAAATCTATTACTGAGTAATTTTCCTATCGGAACTTCCCTGCCAAATAACAAACAGAGAAGACCATTTTCTAATCACTTTACAGCATTTAAATAATATGCCAATTTGTGGAACTCATTACACACATTTTAGTAATCCAAAATATTGGTATGAAGGGCCTTCAAATTAAATCAACTGGGGGAATGCCATTGCTGTGCTTTAGGAAAGAAAAAACAGGACTGGTTACTGTCCAGCTACCTAAAGAAATAATACTGTAGGAACAGGAAACTGTATAAAAACAAAGCACTTTTTAAACCTCTTTTGCATTGTTAATTATCGTAGTTTAACATTTTAAACAATAAAAAAGTTTGCATCACTTGATGATGCAAGTATTAAAATAAGTTTGTAGAATTCCACACAGTATCTGCTAAATAAACAAGTTTGGCAGCTTAGCAAATATCATATGATTGCAGCATCCATGACTTGAATTCAAACAGTGATTTATTTCTCTGCAAAGAGTTTGTAAATCAGAATAGCACACTCCTGGGTTCTGGACGGTGTCCGACCCCAGTGAGTTTGAGGAAGGTATTTTTAGTGCATGGCCCCTGTGCAGAACTACCCACATCAAACGATTGTCTCCTTTGAGTTCCTTTTGAGGGACTGCAGGCCCAGCAGGGACTGCTGGTTGGAGAGGACGTTGGCAGACTTTGGGATTAGGAGTATCACCCGCTGATTGGTCCGACGCCATTCGTTGTATAATCTACAGTGATACCTAAAGGATACCTGGGGAGAGAAGAGAGATGCACCATGTTTAGAGTCACTGCGGTCCTCCTAGGAATCTGTTGGGGTTTGGGGGGAAACGCCTTCAAGCGGAACAAAAAGCTGAGAAGCAGCCTAATTGGGCGGGATAAAAATGAGCGAAACGTGGGGGGCAAAGATGAGACCTACCATGTAGATGCCTTGTTCCCCAAGCTGCCACAGCAGAGAAGAAAAGCAGCCTGTGCCCTACTTTCTGCTGCTGCCTACCTCTCATTCCCTCTTTTATAACATGAAAAACAGACATCCTGCCTCTGTCTTTCCCAAGAACTAGAATTATTGGCAGCCACTTATAATGAGAATGAGTTTGGGGTCCTATCATGCTACAAGTTGTTAAACTGACAAGTAATGTAATTGGCTGGGTGGTGAAGGCTTGCAGGTAGCGAAGCTGTGTGCAAACACTGACAGGGTTGGGTGTTCTACCTTGTAATGCTTTATTGCTGAATGCATCAAACTCAAGACTTCACAGATGCAACAAGGTGAGTGTGAGCATCTGCCAACATGTGTATCTCAATTTAGATTGTCTTTGATTATTTTTTTTTTTTATTGTTATCAGCTAACCAGTCTCAACCTTAGTGTGGTTCTGCTAATAGTGGAAGAGAAATGACTGACTGCTATGAATATACAAGATAGCTTGGCCCTGTGTTTTTTTAGAATAGTTTACTGCTTATTTTAGTGACATCCAAGTGTAGTGAGAGTTATGTCTGTGTAAGAAGATGTACGTGTGCAGTTTTTAAAAAAAACAAACAAAAAAACCCCAAACAAACTGTAAACTGGCTTGGGACCTTTTGGGTGAAATGTGCCACATGACAATTATAGTGTTCTTGAGCTGTGGGCAGGAGGAACCTTGTCTTGTAGGCTGTTCTGTCTTCATGTGCAGCCAGTCATTTGTCACGGATTTTTATGCACCTGTGCCACTTCTCTAGGTCAGTGCTATACAGAGGGTGCCAAAAAGGCTGGAGCTAACACACTTGGTTTGCGCAGGGGGGTGGAAGATGCTGCTGACTCTGCAGAGAAGTAGCTGTGCATTCTGCTGTCAAAAGGGGCCGTGCTGCTTGCTTTCCTACCCCCACAGCAATGACAGGCTGGCTGCCAGTGAGGTATGGAGGGATATTAAGTAATATACATGCCTATGAACGTATCCTTCAAAACCCTTTCCTTATTGCAAAAAGGGTGCTTTTAACTAAATAGATTATTTACCTTTCTGTAAAATCCTACTAGGGACAAAAAGACTGGTTTTAGGTTTTTTTATTAGATCTTTATACAGCTGTCTGCTGTTAATGAGGGACACCTATAGAGTTTTTGTTCACTAAGCAGTTGCCCAAAGACAGCTCTTCCAACAGATGAATTGATTCCCCACCTTTCAATCTCCTCTGCTCCCCCTGAAGGTAAAGCAGTCTGCATCTTCGTTTCTGTGGAACATCGTATATAAAAGAACGTGAGAAATCTCCTTGTAAAAGGCACTGCAGTATCAGCAGAAATCACGTGGTAGAGGGAGGAGGGGGAAAAAAAACCCAACCACCTGCAAAGATGAGTGCCATGCAAAATGCAGTGACTGCTTCAGAGGAGTGAGCTAGAGTTTAGGTTGAGTTTTCAAGTAGCATCATATGAGATTCTTTGAGGAAAGGCTGCACTGTTAAGCCAGGCTCTAACTGCTTGTTTGTTTAAGGCATTTTCACAGGATACCCTAGTTAAGTTTGACAGCTTGTTTACAAGGGGTTCTTGCCTGGAGGCAGTTTCCAAGTGATGTCAGCTACTGAATTCCAGCAGAGCCACGGTTACTCACCCTAAGCCGTTACACTGATGCAAAACTCTTGAGATGCTGAACAAAGGCCAGATTTATATTGGTCCTTGGCACACTAAACTCCTTTGTTCGCCACTTCAATAGGACAGCAAGGGGGGGTGTCTTATCTTTCTCACTTACTCTGAATTAATTTGGGCTAGCCTTTGTTTTAAACCAGCAGTTATGTTATACTGGAAGCTATAGGGCCAAGTCCACTTGTACTCCAACCTGCTACTTGATCTTACAGGAGTCAAGATTACCCGCGTGCAAGAGAGAGCAGAGTGTGGCCCTGAATTATTAGTTTAAATAGCAATCTCCGCTTTGTGTCTGAAGCCTTCTTCTTGGGAGTAGCAGGCTTTTTTGTGTGTGTGTGCATCAGTTACAATGATTAAATGCAGAGGAAAAGCAACAGCATTTTATGAAGAACTTGGCTGTTTTAGGGGAAGGGATAAAATAGCTTCTTGGATGCCAAAAATAGCGTTTCTCCTGTTCTCTGCTCACTGGGATAACTGTGGTGTGTAAATCTATATGCCAGCTTTTGCCTCCAGAGAAAATAAGCTGATTTATTGGAAGTAAACTGAAGTTTTAGTTTTCCTAATTTTCCCAGGACCTAAAGGAGCATTATATCACTTTGTGTGTAATTTACGCCACAGCACTCAATATATTCCCTGCATGGCCATAACTAAGCAAGCAGTACAGGATTCTCCCATCTCTGAAAATTGAAGGGCAGGTGCCGCTGAAGCACTTGATGGGGTTAGCACTTCTGCATGTGGGTCCATTCCTTGCTGCATGGCAAGGGGAGCGTGGAGCCTCCCCAAGGCAAACGCAGGCTGGGGCTTTCCTGCGTGACTGATGGGTCTCAGGCCACTGAGCAGAGAGTGGGCATGTCTTCCATGTGTAGGGTGCTCAGTGCCATTTGTAAAGTAGTTGCTTTAAATCTCTGCTTTGACTTTGCAAATCTGCCCTCTGGGAAAATGTGTGAAAACACTGTCACTCAAGCCTGTTGACTTAATCCGCAGATACACTTAAACCTCCTCAAAACTCTTCCATCCAGTACTAATGCTGTGAGGGCAATGAGGGCACCTTCTGTACTGTGAATAGAGCCTGAGAGTCCTTCCCACCATGTCTCTCTGCTCTGCCCACTGAATTAACCCCATGCTGAACAGGAAGGCTACTGTGCCCTGAAAGGTTCCCTGCCTTGCCCTTCGCCGATGAACACAGTGCTTCATTAGCCCATCCACCTCCTGCTGCTCTGAATAATAGATTAGAGTGGAATTACATCTCCCACAACTCAGTGGACATTAAAGATACTGTATTTCAATTAAATCAACCAAGGTATGCATTTACATCAGGCTTGCTACCACCATATTCTCCAAGTGCCAATAACACATTTCTCTGTATGCTTTTGAAGGGGTAAAAGTTATAAAGTCAATAGAAGGGATTTTTGCCACTTACAATGCAGATGCAATAGACAGTGATAGGGACTACAGTTGACATGCTGCAGAAGTCTTAATGAGCAAGGTCAGATATGTCCATGTGTCATGGGTAATTAAATCCAACTACTTAGCCAGACTACCCTTTCCAACTTCCAGCCATTTTGGTGCTTGTGAATTACGTATATTAGGTAAATAGGACAGGATTTGGGTTTCTAAGATAGTCATGCACAAAGGAAATTTGAACAAACTTTGCCGGAATACCTGACAGACGTGTCTACACACAGTACTGCTGGAGTAAATGGCCATCCTGTCAAAGGGCAGTGCTGCTGCTTCACAGAAAATGGAAGCAGAAACGGCAAAAAGAGAAACTGCAGGAGGCTGAGCCAAAACTCT